AAAAATTTAAAAAAAACAAACCCCCCCCCCCCCCCCCCCAAGGGAAAAAAAAAAAAGAACAAAACAATAAAACAAAACAATTTTGGACAGTTTGGCAGAAGCTTAAAGCAAGGCTTTGAGCAGAGTTCATCCATTTTAGTCAGCAACTTTCTCATGGATATATTTACCTTCTCTAGCTCTATGTATATTTAATTGTAGGGAAAAAAAAAAAAAGAAAAAAAAAAAAAGAACACATTAAACAAGAGTCAGCAAAAGCAAAATCAGTTAAGACCACTCAGCAACATAGCAGGCATATTGGATCACAGCAAAGGAGCATTCAAGGACCTGATCTACATTAAGAAGAGACTAAATCTGAAAACTGGTCTCTCTCTGTAGAGACATGCCTCTTGAAATATCTCCTGCTTGGCCATTTTTGTGTCAGTCTGAAACAATTGGCCACATTGTTAGTACAGACAGGCAAATGGGGATCCTGATTTGGGAGTCACTGGAGTTTATGTGTCTGACAGCAAGTTTGTGATAAACTCATAAATGTACACCTCCAGGGGTTAAACTTCAGATGTACAGCAGGTCTTTCTGGCAAAAAAATGTTCCCATGATTATTAGTTGCCTTTTTAGTCACCATCAGGAACAGGTAACAACTAAACACTGTTTTTGTGAGTCTAATTTTTAAGTAAAAACAAGATGCAAATTGCATGGATCAGAATTTTTAGTGGCTATTTTAGTCAATACAGTGCTGTGATGTTATAACATCAAGCAGAAAATCACAAGGTGGATTAGCTAAAGCCACTTAAAATCAACAGAAAAATGGCCTGGATTCAGATTCTTCCTTCTGTTTTAAATTAAATTCCAACTCTTACAGTTCAGCAGATTTGTTAAATATTCTTTATATGTATTACAGTCTTTCCTTGTCTTCTTAACTGGCGGTGTCATTCTTTCTTAGCCCAATTATCCATATTTGCATACTCCATATATTCTTTCTATTAGGAAAGCAAATTGATGGTGAAGTAAAGTATCTTTTATTCATACCCTTGTTGATGTACAATGACTGCTGGAACTTGCTCTCATCAAATGCAGGAAGATTCAGACACCAGAAGATACTTTTTTCCCCTCACACTTTAAATCTCTTTTAGCCAAAGTTCAGGCTAAAATCTTCCTTTCAAGGATTTTCTTAGTGCCATATTTTCTTTGTGCAGCATGTACCTATTACTAATTTCTTTGAAGTGGGTTTTTGGTTGCAATTTTTGTTGTTGCTGTTACAGCAATTCAGAAAAGAGTTACTCAGTTCATCTGTTTGAACATGCACATGCACGGCCTGCATGTGCCTTTGGTAAGGGAGGATACTTAGTATTAGTTTCAAGAGATGGAATGCTGCTTAATTGTTTATGATAATAATTTTAAATTGTGGGTGGCAGTTACGTATCCAGTGGCAGAGGTTTAAACTAATCCAGAAAAACAAAAAAAAAAAAAAAAGAAAAAAAAAAAAAGAAAAAAGAGAAAAGGGCCACTCCCATTCTGATTAAGAAAAGAGATCCAGCAATGTTTAATTATATTATACACAAAAATTAGTGGATGTATCAAAATACTGTTTGTCAAAATCATAACACTTTTATGTGGCTACAAACCATAGAGCCATAAAAAAAACTCAAAGGGCACAGTCATGGAGTGCAAAGGGTTTATTCATTTGCTGAAAAATTAATAATTGATAGCCAAAAAATAAAAAAAAGAAAAAAACCAATTCCAATGAATCCTATCTCTTTTTACATTAACATTTATTTTAATGAATCTGAAACTTGCATCATAAAACAATGTCTTCAATTTGACAAAGACCAAATATGATCAAGTGCTTTCAGGAAAAAGTATGGTGAATACTCAAAATCAAAGACAGTAACTGATATTTGATCCATATTCTGTTTGAAGCCCAGCAAGTATTCTTTTGTTGATGGAAAGGGGCAACTATTGCAATTTCCAGTTGATGTGAATGCCATAAATACCCTCACTCTCTTAAAATTTTTCAGTTTTTTGTGTGCAAGCATTACTGGGTCTAATAATACAGCTATTCTACTGCTTTATAATGAAATAACACTCATACCAGTACACAGAATTAAAGACACTTTACTAGGTGATAATGCTAAGCTATGCCTTGATGGCACAGAATCTGCATCTTGGTCTGCAGAAGCCTAAAGAGGATGGAAATAAGATATAGCAATGCAATAGTGATGTGAGTATTAAAAAAAAAATCCAGATGTGACATATAGATTCCAGCAAATTCTTCTAATATTTTGTTTCCTTCCTGTTTCTTTAAACTCTTCTGCATGGCCAGTCTGTAAGTATGGCTCATTCTTCTGCACCCAAAATGACAAGTGGTAAGTTGCATGAGCGCTGAGAAAACTTGCATCAAGTCTGTGTATGCAGCTGCAGAGTGGTGTTTTACCTCACACAGTCTTGTTATTAAAAAAAAAAAAAAAGTTTAGTGCCCAATACTTGAGCACATAAATCCAATTCCAGGATTGCAAGAAAAAAAGTTATTAAGATCAACCAATATGGAGCATAAGAACTTTTGAATATCACAGTGTGTAAGTAAAAGAGTATGTATAGCATCCTGCACTTAGTTCCAAAGACTTTGGGGAAATTACAACTACAACTGAAAAAGAGAGAGCACAAGAAGCAGCAGTGTGTTACTTGCATGGCATTGTTTCTCTTGGGCCCACGAAATTTGGAAGCATTTATAGAGCTGGTCTGAAGCCAGTTGGATTCTGATGAATTTTAACCTCAGCCTCTCAGTTTCTGAAAATGAAAATACAGAAAACTTCTGGAAGCTGATACAGCAGTCCTGTGAAGACTGGAAGTTGGTCAATCCAGCCGTTAGCTCAGTGTAACAAATTATACTAAGTAAATGAAATGTCAACCCCATCAGCTCGCAAAAAATTTCAGTCTAGAAGACTTCGATACAAAAAAAGTATGTATCTGATGCCTATTCTTGCTATGCACAGAAATGAGTGCTTACAAACTTTTGAATTCTACTTCGCAAAGAGAAGTCTCATGTGGCTGGTTTGAATCCACAATAAAATTCCTCTCCTGATACCTCCAGCCGTATTCACATGTTCTGGACTTTTGCGGAGCTCACAGCTTTTACTCTTTCCGTGTCTCACCAGGAGCAGGCCGGTTTAGCATCCTCTTGCCTGCTGCCAAGGATGGAGGCGGTTGGGGATGGGGCCTCCCTCGACTTTTCTGGGCGATCGCTTTTGCAGGACCGCGGCCAGCTTCTGCTTGAGGCTGCGGTGCCAGCCAGCCCTTGCTGCCCGCCGGACTCCAGGTATCGGCCTGGGAGCTGTTGCGGGTTCCGCCGCCCCCGGGTGCCGATGCCGCTGGCGGGGCGAGGGCGCGGGGCCGGGGCCAGGGGCGGGCGCGGCGCCCGGAGCGCGGCCGTGCCGTCCCGCCCCGCGGGATGCCGGGGAGGGCTGTCCGCCGCACGTCACCGCCGCCTGCGATAAATGCCCGGCGGGGCGGGAGCCGTGGGGAGAAGCGTGGAGCAACTCGGGGCGGTGGTGGCGACCCGGAGGCGGGCGGGGGAGACGGGGGCGGCGGCGGCGGCTGAGCTCGGCGGCAGCCCCGCGCCGCGGCTCCGCTGCTGGACACGTCCCAGCGCTGCTCCGCCGCAGCCGGCGGGGCGAGGCCGTGCCCGCGCCCCCCGGCCCGAGGCGGGCGTGGCGAGGAGGCGGGCGGCGGAGCGAAGCTGGCTGCGGGGAGAGCAGGCAGCCGCCGCCGGAGGGGTAAGGACACTGGCGGGGAGCAGCATCCTCCCCGCAGCATCCTCCCCGCGGCGGCGGGAGGACGGGCTGCCGGGGGCCGGGGGCGCTCCGGCCGGGTCGGCTGCCCCACGGAGAGCGGGGCCGGGCGCGGGAGGCGGCGGCGGCGCGCTGGGGAGCGCTCGGCTCTGCCCGTGCGCCTCTTTGTGTTTCCCTCCCAGCGGCCGGGTCCGGTGTGGCGGGATTCGCGCGTGCTCTCCCGGGGTGACGGAGCGACCTCGGCTTTCCTGCCTAAAGCACTCAGTCGTGTAGCAGGCGTTGTTAGAATATCGCGTTCTTGGAAATGGTGCTACTTTTTCTGAGAGTTTTCAGTGCTTTCCCTTGTTTGGTGACTAGAAAAACGCCCTCTCCTCCGATTTCGTGTCCGAGTTGAATACCTTTAGTTTCATTAGGGTTTTGCACATTATAAAACAAAAACTTTAATCAACGTCATATTTTGAAATTCACTAAGAGGGGATACTTTGTATCAAGTTAATTGTGGATTTCAGTTTACACTCTGGCAATGACTGCTAGCCTTTAACCTTTTTTTGTTAAGTTCCAATACTGGAAGACCTTATCTACAGTCTAATCTTCATTGAAGTCTGGCTCCTTTTAAGTAGATATGAAAAGCATGCTTTTTGCATGCAAGCACTGAAATGTGCATATCAATGCAATATATAAAACCTCTTGAACAAACTGAACTTCAGAAGGCTGGAGATAAGCTATCTTCCCAAATCAACAGTGTGCACTTTTAGAGTAAAAAATGCAGCATCCTGCTTTCTTCCCCTAGAACAACAGTTACAAAATCTGTATGAACTAGAGATTTTGTTGATTAATAAGTGCATACAGGCCAGTCCTTCAGTCTACAAATTACATTACTCTCTCTTATGCATTTACAGCCAGCAAACGTGGAAGAAAGACTTTGTCTTGGAGCTAACTGCTGAGCATTTTGAGATCATTCATCATGAAGTATGTAGTACAGGAATGGCTCAGAGTAACTACCTTGCTATTCATAGCTCAAGCAGTTTCTGCAATGGTTCTTCCCAATGCCACACTCTTAGAGGAACTTTTGGAAAAGTACATGGATGAAGATGGTGAGTGGTGGATCGCCAAGCAGAGAGGGAAAAGGGCTATCACAGACAGTGATATGCAAAGTATCTTGGATCTTCATAATAAATTACGGGGTCAGGTGTATCCACCAGCTTCCAATATGGAATATATGGTAAGGAAAAACGGATAGTGACATGCAGAAAAAAATGTTCTTAGAATAGTTGCTATCACTTTATAAAACAGCATACTTTCAGTATTAGCTTGCTTGTTTTCTCATTTAAAGAACGTGTCACTTGTTTGTCTTTTTAGTTTTTTTTTGGTACAGGTATGAACTGTGAGATAAAAATGCCTGTTTGCAGATCAGGTGTCATGCTCTACTTATATTAATGTGTTTAATCTCTCATAGCTGTCCTAAATTTAAGTGGCAGTTCCTCAGTGTTAGCGGCCAATTTCCAAAATTGCAGTACTCACTCAATAAAGTTGATTGTAATTGTGGCCTAAAAAGTTACCATCTGAGAAGAGTACTGAGCAATGAAGTTTCAAGATAGCATGCCTGTATTCTTTCCCATGCTTCTAGGTTGGATGGCATTTCTGAACAAAATGAGGGTCTTACTACAAGGAAGTCTTCTATTTAAGTTGGCACATGTTACTGGAGGGCTGTATATTTCTGTGTTCAAGTTAATAATGTGATTTCTGTTTTTTTTTTTTTTTTTTTTCCTTAAGAAGCCTCTATATTTGGACTATTATTAGTGGCGTTAAGTTCCATGTTTCTGAACTTTGTTTTTGTGCCATAGTTCAAGGCTGATTCGATCTCTCCTTGCTAAATAGATGAAATCAGGTCATTAGAGCTTTTAAGAAGTCTAGAGGTTTAACAAAAATGGGCAACTTTTCTTTTATCGGCACCTTTTTCCTGTGTCCACATGGTATATCTGTTCATGCACCAGAGAAGGAGCATTGGTATAGGTTGAGTTGTTTATATCAAGTATTATACAGGTTTCTTGACACTTTCCATGACAGAGGTTTGTATTAACACATTTCCATATCAAAATATCTTTCCTAGACTGGAGTGGTGTCTTTCAGGTTGGAGATTTGCTTGAACTGAGCATATGTGGGTCCTGGAGAAACCATGCTTGCTTAAACCATCAGTAGAATCATAGGATGGTTTAGATTGGAGGGGACCTTTCAAGGTTCTTTAGTCCACCCCCCATTAAAGGCAGTTTAACTTAAGTTTACCTATGTAAACTTAAGTGTTTAAGAGTGTTATTGTATTAAACTAAGAGCCGTCAGGAATGGAATCACAGGATATATTGCCACAGATCATCTCCCTACAAAGGGATGATAATACCTGAAACCACTTTAACCCATTCAGTTACAATTGTCTGCACATACTCATAAGCTTTGTTTTCTGTTGTGATTTTTTCAGACTTTGCTATAATGGAGGTTAACATTTTTTTCCCAGTCACTCAGGCTTTTTTTCTGGAAAGCTCAAGAACAAGCTATTAAGTATTTTTGTAAAAGAAGAATTGGGAAGACTGTTTCTTTCCCTTGTTAAAATACTGCAAGCCTTTTTCTTGAGATTCTCTGAAAGTGTAGATATTTGTAGTTATGTGGTTTTTTCCATTCCTAATGCCATACTACATTTTCCTGTCTTATATATCTTGGAAAGGAGAATTTGGATATATTCACAGAAGTAAGGTTTTTGACAGCTTTATTCAAAGATTCCTCCAGCACTGCACACACTTGGGCTTAAACTCTGTGTTAGGTCTACATCTGGAACAAGTTCTTTTGGTTTTGTTGTTTTTTCTGTGCTCTCCAGTGATGCCTGAGCCAGAGAGTACAAGTAGCATGGAAAAGCAATTACCCAGTTTTAACATCAAGGATGTTACTCAGAACAGGGCAGCAGCTTTCAAGAGGGTGGGATTCAATTTTGGCATAATGTCCTAGGGAATGAGGGATTTGGATAGGCAAGGGTTTGAGACCTGTGAAGGCAAAGGGTCTGTGTAAAGTGTGTGGTCAGAGGGATAGATACCTGTGGAGGGTATGAGAAGGGTGTGGAGAGAGCGGTCAGAAAGGTGTTGAGAATTGTGATGGAGAGAAAGAGCATTTGAGGAATAGATAACGGTTAAGACTGTGATTTGGATCAGAAGTTTATGGAGGGAGGTTAAGAGCACAGACATTTGCTAAGAGAGGCTATTTGAAAAATCTAAACCTGTTAGGAAATGGGGAGGAAGATTGTGTCTGGCGGAAGCAGGTGAGAGGATATTGGGAATGGAGACAGGAGTGTTTAGAAGACAGTGGGAACCACATGCTGCTTGAACAGAACAAGGAAAGGACAGGACTGCTGATTGTTTGCACATATATTTTTTATGGTACTCTTAGAGATTTTAATTTCAATGTCTTACCAAAGATAATTATTAGTGCTTCAGAAAAGGGAAACCATCCACCTAAATGCTTGCCTGATGTTTAGCAAGATAAATGAGTGCATCTGAAATACTTTTCTCTACTTTTGGTGTGGTTTTTTAGTATAGATATGCTGGCAAACAGGTCTCCTTCTACCGGCACACTCATGTCCCTGTAAACTGCCCTTTGTATTAGTAAACCCTCTCCTTGTGAATAGAGCTAGTTCTGCTTGGGGGAGTGAAGTTTTGTGTCTCACTGAACCTGAATGGAGATGAGCAAGGTCCAGGTGCCTCCCTGATAAACTTGTGTCTCCATAAATCTGTGGCATAGTTGAGAAAGTTAAGATATCCAAGAGTGCTTGGAGCTGGGAGAATTATGTGGGGGCTGCATGCTCTCACTGCCCTGTTAGGTTACCTAAAATGTTCCAGACTAAAAGGCAGCTCTGGTTGAAGTGCCTCTGTCCTGCTCCTGCTGATGGAACACACCTGAGTTGATTATGAGACTGATCCAAGTACTTAAAGAATCAGATTTAATTTTTAAAAAAAAGTAATTTTAGGGTTTTTTTTTTCATTCTGAGTCATGACATTATCTCCCTGTTTGGCAGAATCAGATGAGTACCACTGCTGATAAAAGAACATTGGAATGCATAACTAAGGAGTGGGTGGGATGGAGAACAACATTGGGTAGGAGCTATTGGTTTTATTATTCACAAAGTCCAGCATTACCTTTGAGATAAGGCCTGCAGCATAAGATCTTGGTTCTATTAAAAAACAAAACAAAACAGAACAAAAAACCCCAAAGCCCAAAATAAACAACCAAACAAAACCAAAACAAACAAACAAAGCCAAAAACCAACGCCCCCCCCAAACAAACAAACAAAAAACAAACAAAAAAAAACAAAACAAAACAAAACAAAAAAAAAAAAACCAAAGAAAAATTAAAAAGTTGCATTACTGAGCTGTGCACACTTTCCATATGCTTTAAAAAAAGCAAACATTACTGGGCTGTCATAGTTCAGAGACCTAAAATTACAGTAAGATTCACAGTAGCTAGGTCTAATGAACAAAGTGTTCTCATGGTTGTCTGGCTGAACTTACTGGATGAAAAATTCATTTTCCCAAGTACTGTGGCTCTGGTGGTGAGCAGTAATGGATTACTAACACAAGAGGATAAGAATAAAGCATGTGAAAAAAGAAACTTCTGCAGTGAAGCACCCCACCTTTCAGCAAACATCAGCTTAGGGACTTCCTCAATCTGCTGTTTTGCATCAGATAGAATACTCTCACATGGAATTTTCTTTACGAATCTGAAAGCTTCTGAGTCCACTTGTATTTTTTGAATCCATGGCATCAGTTTGCAGAGCTCTATAAATTTAATTATGCAGTGGGTGAAAAAGTACATTTGTTTTCCTTTAAACTTGGTCTTTTATTTGATGCCTTATTTTTCTTTATTGTGAGAAATGATAATTTCCTCAGTGATCACAAGGCTTTCAGCTGAAGAATCCTAATTCCTTTTCTTGAAAACTGTTCTATCTGAAAAGCTGTTCCATTTTCCTGTTTTCCTTTTAATGCAAAGGAGACAAACCAAACTGTGGATAGTTATGGCATACTGCAGATTGTTATAGTTGTATTTATTTTCTTCACTACATAATAATTTCCAACATTGTTTTACTTTTTGACTTAGTGTCCTACAGCTGACATGTTTCACAGAGCTATTCACAATGATTTCAAGATCTTTCTAATGTGCTAAGAGGTCATTTACTATACTACTATGTATATATAGTTGGCTGTTATCTCCAGCAATGTCCTTATTACTTTGTATTTATTCACGTTGCATGCTATAAATAATTTTGTCTTCCAATCACTTAGCGTTAATGAGTCTCCTGTCTTTATCTTTTATTTTTCCCATCCTGTTTTTGCCTATATTAAATAGTGAATACTATATTGCATTCTCTTTTCTTGGGCTTTTGTGGAGAAGGTGTGCTGCAGAGACCATGGACACATCTTGTAGGGAATCTGAAAAATTATTTTGTATTCTTAAATCCCTTTTCTGTCATTTATCACTTCTTCCTTTACCTTATGATAGCTAAATTTTGTTTGTCTGTTATTTTTATGTAACTTAGGAACTCTGTGGAAAACTTCACTGCACTTACATGTTGACACCTTCAAGGTGTAATATATGTGGGAGTAATTATCTGTATATTTCATATTTTTTTAACTTACCTTTTAAATCATCCCAGTGGAAGTCAGTTTTTAGTCTTGTTTCTCAGGATCTTCTAGAAGCTTTTAAAAATATTATCAACCATGTGCTGTTTTTTTGTTAATGTGGTAACAAGAAAGATAATGTACTGCACAGTAATTAGAAGTTTAATGAGCAAGTTCTACCAGGTTCTTGAAAGATATTGTTTGGTCCCAGCAATTTGTTACTGTCAGTATTTTCAGTTTTGGCTATCATTTCTTAAGGATGCTTTGGATTTTCCACCTCTCCTTCTGTCTCTTTTTCTATATGGAATAATTCTGGTGTGAGAATGTACATAAGTTCCTCTGTAGGGAACAGTATTGCAAAATTTCATGAAACTCCTCTCAGTGGCCTTATATGACCTTATGACTGCATGTTAGATCATTCTTTCCTAGACCTCCTCCTTCAAAGCTGAGAGTTTTTGGGTTGTTGACATTATGACTTAAATAGAAAAAGAAAAATCTTTTTTTGAGGTTATGATGAACAGTGTGCTATGAAAACGGCAAATGCATGTTATATATATTTTTTATCTGG